GGGAAACCGGGATGTATAATCCGAAGGAATGATCTCGACCCATGCATGCCGATCGAACCATTGACCTTCAAATTAGCCAGAAAACGATTGCGGTTCCACAGAAATCAGATGAGCAATATTGTTAATCTATTCAAGAATGAGAAAAGAAACTGCATATAAACAATGGCTACTGTTAATGATAACCTATGTTTCTATTGAATAAGAAATTTCTTCCAACCAAAAAATAGTTTGAAATGTTTGTTAGTGCAAATAAAAAAACATATTGTTAAAAGAATACTATCTCTTAGAATGAAATTTGAAGTCTCAAACTTGGTCAATAAGACTAGACTAGCCTAGACAATATATCAGTGGACTGACTTCGTGTCATAACTAAACAGCAGAATCCATAAATCCATAAACTCATAGAGAAGATAGCCCACCCCTGAAGCTCTGAAAGAAAATCCGCCGAAAACTATCGGGCAACGACCTGAAAACAAAGAAAATTTCGGGCAAACCAGCCTGTCCCTTAACAAGCCCTCGGTCTGTACGCCTATGATTAAGTACTTATTTATTGTTTATTGAGCGTTTTTTAAAAAAATAATTACTTGTAGTTTTATGGTTCATTTAATTTACTCAGTTTTATGGAAAGACCAAACTTTCAATGAAACAATGACATCGGTAATAAAATTAGAAACAATGATCGCCTACAAACAATATCTCTACTAAAATGAACTTTAATATGATTCAGTGAACATGCTTTCTGAACAACAGAAATCGTGAAATCATATTTCATCACAAGAACGAACACTATTCTTCAATAATATCGATTCGAAGTTTCAAATTGCTTATATAATAGGAATCACATTTTGTACATTTCTGTATGTATTCCCATTTGTAATTGACCCGGAAGTAATGGTTAGCCTATATCATATTCAAATATGGAACGCTTTCAATAAAAGCGTAAAACAATATGGCTATACGCTTGTAAATATATCTTACTATAGCTCGAACTAATATAATCGATTAAAGTATTTGCCATTGATGATTGTTTAAAATCTCAACTACCAACTGGAAAAGCACTTTTATTTATATCTAAGGCATCGTTGCTATGGTTATGTTGACATAAACAATGAATATAGAGCTAAGCTTGGGGCTATTTGATCTTGAAAACTATTGTCCGTTATTAATAAGAATTTGATGCTAATCTAGAATTCTATTTTTATAACGAGAATCTGTCATGTATTTTCGGACAATTAAGTTTGTCTGAAACATCATGGAACTTGACCTTAATGGCTTAATTATGCTACTGTAGCCTATTGGAAATATATAAAAAATGAACCTTGTGTAAACCACCAATCTTGACAGCCATTTTACTTCCATTCAGTCGTCGAATTAGTGCAAAACCTGTAGTAGATAAACGTCGATCTTGACAGCCATTCTACCTCCGTTCATTCATCAGCTTTTTCCATGAGTCCGAAGAAGATATTTTTGACGATCATCGGTTACCAAAGGTTGTAGGGGCCAATATATTTCATGCCAGAATCAGATCGTTTTCTTAGGAACCGTGACATGTCATATACATAAAAACCATATCATGTCCAACAAGCTTGTTTGGCGGTTTTCTGTGGGCCTAGCTCGAAAGAAGTCAAAATTCATAATTTAAAGATTTTATTTATTGTTTTACTGACTGACTGTTCTAGCTAAAAGATAATGATATCCTAGACTGTAATTACTGGTTATAATTGATATAATTATCACTTTGTTATATATTACCGCAGTTCTATAATTATATTTTATATTAAGCCATAGTCATTATATAATAATATAAATAGCATGACGTCCATTGATATTCCGAACACAGTAGATATAGGCTAATACTTAATGTCATTGATAAACTCAAAATTATATGACATTAATAAGTATTATAGGATATATCGAATTTTCCATGATGCGTCTACATGTATCATTCCAATTTCTCACAAGTCTATGATAATTAAGAGGACCATGAACAGGATTCAATTTCATATTTCATTAGATTCCATGTATGTTGCCTTAGCTCGTCTAAATTCTCTGCGTCTGCGTCCGTGACATCATGAAATGTGAATGGATACTCACTTTTCGTGTTGATCTTAGGGATCTTTTTCTTGCCATCATGGATTTGTAGACCAATTTGGTGGGAGGGGACTTCCAGCTCTGTTACCTTGCACTGAATCTATTGGTGTATTTGGTAAAGTAAAGCAGAGTTAGTTCTTCTGCGATATCCAGGCCATCAAGTTGCTCCCACTCGATTACTAGAAGGAAGATAAATTGTGCATTGTTAATGGGGAAGTAGATTTAGAGAAGAAGAAGAGTCAATAGGAAGTACAGGCAGTGTAAAAGAGATAAGGAACCGAAAAGGAATACAGAGTAAAATAAACAGTGAAGAGGTGAAAGCATGTACGGAGAAGTAAGGAAGAGATAGATGTACGGGGAAGATCTGAGAGGAAGAAAAAAAGAAATGTTTAAGAAGAAGGGCGAGAGGATGCCTGGTAGAGGAGGTCGGAAACTCAAGTGAGTTCGTAGAGGTTAATTGAGATGACAGGGAATGAAGTCATTATATTGAAACAGGAGGGTGAAGGCATATTATAGTACCTCCGTGCTATGCTTCAAATCTCAGTCCTACTCAGAAAGCCTATCATGAAACGCCACCTTCCACAACCCTAAATGTGTCGATATGATACTTCAATGTGAATTAAACTTATACAATTTTTTCACAAGTAGCCTCAATGGTCAAATGAAATTGCAGAGAATAACTTCCCTTGAATTAAACGTATATAAAACGTTACAATTTAAATTAAATATTTTATTGTATTGTATTTAATGTAAAATCAGAAGCAATTCAAAATTGAAGACTCAAGGTGAATTTCGCCATATTTGGGTTAAAAAATGTTCCAAATTAGACTATTTTTTAGAGAAATTCCAACCAAGAGAAAATCAACCCGAAACAGGGACACTTGATTTACGAGTAAATTACTACAGCACACAATGGACCCGAGAAATTTGTCTGATAATGGGTATATAGTTGCGTGGATATGATATGGATAATCGGATAAAAAATTTAAAATGATAATTATCACCGTCTCGTATGAGTTCTGCTTTGGAACAGCTGTGGTCAAAACGCATAAAATTTGGTATCGTTTAATACACACTGTGACTAAATGACCATATCGAACCCATAAAAGTCTTTTATGGTATGAAGCAATTTAATAATGCGATTTTCTTGCCACAAAGATGTAAAAACTTTTCTCCAATCAAGAATCCAATCCTCAATGAAACACAATATGTTCAATGCAGCCAATGAAATTTCTACGATGGATAGGGGTTAGAAAATCCCTTTAATTGACACTTAGCAGTGCCTCAATTACATTAAAACCAAATTGTTAAATCAATATATTTTTCTTATAGTGTCTTTGTCATTGTAATGAACTACCTATTACTCAACACATTAAATACCAATAATATCAAGACAACGACGTTTTTAGAAACGAATTCAGATACCTGGTTTACCAATAATTTAAATAACTGGAATATTATTTGACCTAATTTGGTCTAGTGCAAAGAAGTGCAAAACTCTAAGCTGCATCTGAAGTCTAGAAGAGTTAACGACTTAACTGACGCTGACTGACCAATGGTCTTGGATAGCCATCATGTTGGTTCTGCTAGCGCTCTGCAACAGGTTTAGCTTTATGGCAAATGTCAAGAATTGCCGAATGGAGCGAGATATTAGCAACTTACATGCAAAACTCACTGACTTAAATTGCCATTTGCTTAAGCATAATTATATTATCTCAATTTGGTGGCAAATGGTGCTTTTTAAACTGCTTTCCACGTCGCCTTCTTAAAACTATGGACATTTATGATTGCTATTAGAAAGATAGTTTACTACTCTGTGTGATAGCCCCATCTTGAAATGATCAGCTTCTCGAACTTTAACCCTTTTTCATTCCATCGGTGTTTGAAGCAACAGTATAGAATGCTTAATCCGACCACGACCAAGTGGTCCGAACGTACAGGATGCTTCACAATCAATTGGACTGTTTCTACCCCTGGTTTCATTTGGATAACTTTACTGTGCCAAGCTCAACAATCTGCTAGCTTGTTTTCGTATGCCCAAGGAATTAGTCTTTTTGAATGAATACTGATTTTGTTGCAAATACAGTATATTGTTACCTTTTGTTAAAAACAGTTAACATACATATTTTCATATACATAATATGCATATTCATTTGTATGCACATATAACCATCCAGAAGGTTAGTCTCTTGGAACTGTCTAGAATAGTAGCTTTAATCAGATTTATAACAGACTTTATTATTGGATATATTTCAGGAATTCAATCATGTGGTAAATTGTTCTGAGATACTATTATTGAAATGGACATCAAAGGTCAGTGGTGTGAGAAAACCACAGCATCACAATGTTATTATACCTTCATGATCAATAAGTTAACTTTCTTTCCTCACGCAATCTAATTTAATCATGTTTTCTCTTACTTTCTCTATTGCAGATTGCATTGAGTAGTAAATCTGGTAAAATATCTTTAGTTACAATGAACAGCTGGTGTACCAATCAATAACAAATCGAACAGTGAATTGTTGACTGCCTTTTACTTAAACTTAACTGCGCTGACATACATTTTCTTATCGGGAGCTTTTTAAGTTGAAGCTGATACAGGATCGATGTACTTATAGTTTAGAGTCAAAACTGATGGAACCCATGTGAAAACCTATGTGATTAGCATTGATATATTGAGTTACTGAAGTTTTACTTGTTGCACTTTTTGCTGGTGCTGTGTTCGAGAACAGGCTTGTTTTTGTGCTGGCATAGTTTCAATGGAGTGTAGTGCTTACGTAACGTCAGTGTTCTGACTTGTTTGGATCAATCAATGGTACAATGAGGTCTGTTGTTATTCCTCTTCGGATAATTCAAAAATTAATTAACTAATGCGGTATAGATTGTGATTGCAATATATCTATGGCAACATGGATGGTGCAAGTATAACATGGCTGGTATTTTTAACTATATTTGGAGTGATGTTTATTGTTACGTGTATCTTATCATCTATAAAAGCAGTAAAGTAAGTTCTCTTGATTCACCTAATCCAAAAGATGTGATGTGATGATATTTTTGTTAGCATTTTCCACAACAATCTTATATCTTATATCTTATTCAGTCTTAAATGTGTCTACCATTAACATAAAAGCAGATTCAACGCATTTGGTATCTATATGATGACTGGCCAGATGTATTCGTGAATTATTAAGAATGCTTAACTGGTACCCATTGTGTTTCGGTTAGTCACCAACTAATATACTTAATGAATGCACATATGGCTGCCTTGTCATATTTTATCACGTAAAGAGTTGTTAATAGCCTAATATGAATATTTTGTATTACATTTTCGCACCGTTTCTAAAGGAACATGGGAAATGGGAAATGCCGGACACTAGCATTTACGCAAAATTGAACTTAATGTCCTTGAATAATATTACGGAGGCGTTAACTCAGTTTTGTCAGCTTTTAATTGTCATAACGTGCAGACAATTCAATTACTTTAATCAATAATACATAAACTCACATACTTTCTTTTTCATTGTAGAGACAGACGAATTATAAAAAAGAAAATAGCAGCCAAACATGCAGCAAGAATTATTTTAAACAAACCATCTGTGTTAGGTTATACACGTCAGTTATCCAGATCATCAGACGACGTTCTTTCACCAGTTATCAACTCAGGGGGAGGTCTTATAGCTGAACGAATGCGGAAAGAACAACAACGGAGGCAACAAAATAAATCACCCACCAGAAAATTTGAAAACATTACAGCCGATCCTCGTTCCGAAAACAGGGTCGAGCGTCGTCAGTATTTAGAACGAAGTATTCGACGGAAATCAGGAGATTATGACAATTTGGACTATTTAGAACTTCAAAATAACAAATCACCGAAGCAAAATGATCCATATTATAATTATTTTTCATCATCTCGATCTGGTAGCAACCTTTACGTTGATCGTCGCTGGAACGAAACGAAACCAGTCAATGATCACACAACGTTTACAACGCGGTCAACATCGGATGTGAGGAAGGCAGCAAGACTGAATGTAGAGGACTCTCAGTCTAATCATAACAAACAATACGGAAGTAGTAAATCTTTACCCAGTCCACCAGACAAACTGTCCGTGTATCGAACTCAATCAGCAGAAATGTTGAGTAGAAATTCTTCCAGGCAAAGTGTTCGCAGAAACTCATATGAAGAAGCCATGGCCAACGACGAGTATTTCTCTAGTGGTTTAGCCAATTCTGAACGCATTGTAAATATGTACAGACATTATCCTAATGGAAATACAGGTGTGGAAAACAGAGCATATATGAAATCTGATGATATACTTCGCCAAGTTTCGCTCTAGCATTAACATTCCTTATCTCTATAGATCTATTTTAATTTTTACCATCCATTTTTATTTATTTATATATCCATTTAATCACTGATTTATTAATACTATCACTGTCTTCAAATCGTAATTTGAATGAAAATTTTAATGTGTGAAAGTCGTCCGGGCTGCATGCCATCCCATTCTAACCGCCAATGGAACTGGAAGTTAACAATTTCATTGCTAATATCATTATAAAAACAACCGACAAAATTATTGACTTTGAATGAATAATCAATAATTTTGGTCCACATCAGAATTTAGACGATATAATCACCAATTATGATATCGGTAATATCAGAACTAGAGAATGTTTATATCGTCTGGAAATTATGATGGTTGAATTTTGTTCATCGCACGCCTAGGTTTAATTATAAGGAGAACCCGAATTCGTATTTTAAATCAGAAAATTTAGCACAATATGTTCTATCAGTTAGTAAATGTTTATACTTTATCATTTTGATTTGGCAGAGTATACTAATAATATACTGATTAACATGCAAAATACGACACAATCTCGTCTACAGTACTGAACAACATCGCGACATCTTGGGACACATTAAAGACATCTTCACAATATCAAGTTATTACGAACCGCGTCGAATACCTACTGCAATAGCCACCTTACTTGTATCATGGAAGTTTGTAAATGTTGAGATTTGACTGGATTCTAAGCTACTGAATAGTGTCAATCAGACTCTCAACTGAAAATCTGTTAAATCAATGCCATCATATTAACAGTATATGTCGAGGGCTGTTGCTTGGCTATTGCATTTGAGATCTTAGACATAGTTGGTAAAGCTCGACATATAGATGCATAAAAGAAAGAATGCATATTTGTAAATCGTAATGACACCTTGACCAATATTAAATCTATTTACAATAAATACATAATTTCATAAATTACAATTTACCTTTTGGCCGCAATCAATCCCATAATTAGCCCTTTTCCGCATTATGCACGCCATATATTACGTACTTCGTCTTATACCTTAACTGCAAAAGCCAATTTTCTTGTGTTGCAGAAGTTAGTAAATGTGGGATTTTATTGGATTGTAAGCTAATGAATTTAGCCAATCAAAGGCTTCGACAGTAAGCCATAATGATTACAGTCTTTCTGTCCAGGACGGACATTGTTGACGCCAATATACGCCCCCCATTTCATGTGAGCGTATAAAAAATGATGTATCGTATCTTCTAGGTTGCTAATAACATATCTCATTTCATATCTCTAAACAGCACTTCGTGGCAACCCCAAAACGGTCACTACTCCTGAAGAGCAAAAGATGACAGTTGAAGAGGCTGAAAATAAGCGTGTAATATGCGTGTATCTTGACTACTACATGAAATGATTATATGTAAAAAGATATTTCGTCTTTATTTAACAATTACAACATAAAACCAAAACCAAACAAAACAAAAAACATGTTAATCAGACCGTCTCAAAAACATAAAATATCTTTAAATGCAAATAGATATTTCTAATTAGTATAGCTTTTCAAATTAAACTGATACATCACAAATATTGACTCAAACTGATACCTTATAAATATTTCATATTCAAAATGAATCAAAACAAATATTTACTATTACTGAAATTGATTTAGAACAAATTTTTAACATTACTGAAATTTATTCAAAACAAATATTTAAAAATATTTAAATTGAGCCAGAACAAATATTTGATTCAAAACAAATATTTAAAAATATTTAGATTGATTCCAAATAAATATTTGATTCAAAACAAATATTTAAAAATATTCAAATTGATTCAAAACAAATATTTCAAGATATTCAAATTGATTCAAAACAAATATTTCTAAATATTCAGATTGATTAACAAATATTTCAAAATATTCAGATTGATTAACAAATATTTCAAAATATTCAGATTGATTCAGAACAAACACTTTAAATATTCAAATGTGATTCAAGACAAACATTTTGGAACATTCAAATTAATTACGAATTCATTCAAAAAATATTCTTTGCATACAGCATGCAAAGGCAAATCAAATTGTAACTGCATAAAAAATATTCTTATACATATATAGAAATTTGAACATATTATATTCAGTAGTAAGTAGATATGACAGAACAGCCTTGAAAGTGGAAGAAGAATATAACAGATTTAACCAAAATTGATGCAATATTCATTAAGTGGGATTGACTGCAATCTATATCTCAAACTGATGCTTAAAACTTGTGAAATAGATCTCTTCACTTTATGTGCGTGTATCAGGGACACCTGATGCTTCCATCTACCTCATTCAAATTTTTTTCAGTAATCTGTGGTTTGTCTAATTCTAGAAAAACTTTAACTGACGTGACCTTCATACCAATTGGCATAGATGGTGAAGTTTCTGGAAACTCAGAATAGAGCCATTGGATGTGAATAGAAAAGGATCTATAAGTTTTCTTCTTATGCATTTCCTTTCTTCACAACTGGTATGTCTAAAAAAAAATTATCAATTTGAACAAATGTAAATATATAACAAAAAACACAAGGGAATATAATGTTATGTACTTTGTTATTAAAGAAGTGTGTTGTGTGTTCTATTATTTGTACTCTCAGCTTCTAAATGTTGTTCAAATCTTACATATGTATATACACAAAATATATAATTATAATATAATAATTAAATCAATATACCATTAAGAACAAAAATTACAGGCAAGAAATAAGTAATAAGAGAAAACTAAACACATAAAAAAATAAAAGATCTACATTATGATATCCATAGTTTTGATTTGAAGGTTTTTTGAAAAGAATGTAAAATGACTAAGTTGAGATCATATTGCTATTTTAAGGAATCTTTTAAACTAACTAATGCATTAGGTAGAGAAGGGTTTGTGAAGTTAAGAAATAAATGCATTAGAATATCAACAAGATAGAGTAAGTTTTGACTTGTAGCTAGGAGAACCTTCCATAAAACAATATTTACAACCATTTCCTCTGAAAGAAAAACAAAAGTTTGATCAAAAATTTCTTGTGATATAGTACATCACAAAATGGGACAATTTTCGGCCACTTTGTATTTTTAGATTTCTTTGGTTGTACAGCTTCAAAAAGATAGTACTTGTTAGTTTTTTTTTAAACCAGATTAAATGAAGATATACAAATAGGCTAGATGAATATTACTTTACAATATCTAGATAATATAGCATGTTATTGAGTAACTTTCCATGATTTCTAACAGCAATGCCCACAAAACCTCCTAAAACTATCATGATTCATTCATTCTATTTCCTGTGCTTCAATTTATTTGTACTGATTTTCCAAATAAGTAATTTCTTTTTTAAATCATTATGATGCACATTTCTTATTTCGTAACATATTTTCTTAGTAAACCATGAAATAACTCAATTAAATGTTAGTTTTTAATGAAGATAATCAAATTACCTTACCTGATATATTATGCATAATAATTAGGTGATATCAGTAAATCTGTTAATATAACTAATTGATCATCAGTAAACATTTGTTTATGATCTAACCAATTATCATGATGTGTTCGACGGAAATCACTTAATGTCTTCTTTACTGTTAACTACAAATACAAAATAATTTCTTCAATACCTGATCTCTTCATATAACTACTAAATTTATTCAGACAATCTTGAATGTGAATATAAAACATATGTCACTTTTTTTTCAGTGAACATAAATTCACCTCCATGGTGTTTTATTTGGAAGACTTACAGCATAAAATGGGCACCATTTTCAGGAATTGAATTGGGTTTTGAATATGTGTAAATAATCTTCAGGATTACTAGGAATGTACCAACATCGCATAATTCCTTCAAAAATACCTCAAACTAGGAATTTCAATTTCTTCTAAAGAAAAGACGACTTGTCATTTTAACTTTCAAACAAGTATGATTCTGGACATACATAGATTTGAAGGCTCAAATTTTCACAATTCCCGTTTCTGAGACTAAGGTACATGTGGTCAAATGAATGGCAAACTAATTCCTCTAAGTACCAGAATTCTACGTCTTGTGTAGTTACATAATTGCTATCAAATAAAGGGACATCCAGTATACCAAATGTTCTGTTAAGGACTGAATATTACCAGGATGGCTTGGTTAAAAGATATGGACCATAAAATAACAATATGACGCAAACTAATCCTAAAATCTGATCAAGTTTGGAACTAGTTTTGACATTTTGGAATAAGGAAAACCCCAATAAAATCCTAGATAAGACTGACCTGTATAGGTTGTGGATCATTAACATGTACAGATAAATCCATCAATATCTGTGGTACAAACTCTGGTACATCATAGGGGTAAGCTTGTACACATGCACTTAACCCTAGTACTCCAGCATGGCGTTTTATCAATGTATCTAATGGTAAAGCTTGTGTTAATTTACGTTTCTTTACTTTAGTTCTTCTTAAGTGTTCAAAATGATCCTGCGAATAAAGATAAATGACACTGTTAGGAAAACTGCAAAAAACTGTAGCTGCCATTTCGATAAATAGTTAATTTACCATATGTTAATATGTAATGAAATAGTTAAGGCCAGATGATAATGACCTGCAATTTAATTGGTTAGAGCTCTTAATTTGTCACAGTAACATTGATGAAATGGTGGTCTCGGGTTCTAATCTCAGATGGCATGTAAGTCTAGTGACATTATCATCTTTCCTCATTATTCCAATTGACAAAGCTCCACAGACTTTCTTTCTGAGCTAGACAGTTGGTGTCATATTTTAATTTTCTCTACAATGAAAGCTAATGAAGCATAATGTAAATAACTTACCATCATGCCTTGTTCTAATTGAAGAAAACCACAATGTAATAGACCACTAAATGTAACAGACGCCATTTCACGAACCTAAAATAGGTGACAAACTCATTAAGTTAGTAAAAATAGATATATCAATGTGTTCAAGCCTTACACTAGATATTTATATCATTTACATTAATGTTGAATTCAATCACCTTTCACAATCTACTTTCTACTTGTGGGCGTATATATCATTTAAGGTGACAGACATTTTTTCCTAATTCACTCAAGGGTAAGCAGGGGTGGGCATTATACATAGTACATGCGCTATATATTCACAATGAAACAGTACTTGGTGGAATACAACTTAAATTAGGCCCAAACTTTTCATTATTATTAAGGATAGAATCAAAAATCAGACATTTTGTCATCTTATAATAGATGCATTCAGTTAGTTGCACATCATTTCAGTTAATACTGTGGCAAAGATATTGGTGCACATTTAAAGATTATTCCAAATTTTAACCCAAACAATTTACATTTGAGGTAGAAAATAAGGAAATTTATAACTACATGTATCTTAAAATAGAGTGAACTGCTTGTGAATATGTTTGGAATTGGTGAAATATCTTTGAACAAGTATACCCATGGCACTTTTCAGAATATACATACAGACCAATTGACTGAAATACTTGTAATTTCAACACAGATAAAAATGTTATTTAATTGTAGACATACCTCTAATTGTTCATCACAGATTAAATGAAAGAGAATTTCCTGTATTTGTTGTTTATAATGTGGATTATCCAATAGGAAGAAGTTATCAAAGACAATATTCTGTATATAACGTAAAATAGATTTTCTAGCATGCCATGACTGTAACCCTGTAACCTTAAAACAAAAAAAAATTTATAACATATCTAATATAGTAGTGTATAATTTATACATTCAATCATACACAAATGCACAAACTCCAAAATAATTTAGAACAATTAAATGTCAGCAATTCCGTTCGATCTTTTTGTTGTTGAAACACATGGTAGGAGCTTAACTGTGGTATAACTAGTTTAAATCAAAGTCATTATTGATTTTACTCTGTAAATATATATAGAGAGATGGGAGTTTGCAGTGATCAAGTAATTTACAGCACATTTCACAAGTAGTGCTTGATGTTTAATTTGGCTCACTCAGGAAAACTGTGCTTCTTATATGACATAGAAAAAACAATATGTAAACCACAAAAACAATAAGTTGAAAAACCAAGAAGGTTCCTACCTCTCTCATCATTTCTATAACATGAGGAATGTCAGATTCTTCTAGTAGAGCATGAGATAAACAATAAAATGCTGCATTCCGTAGAACTACTAAATCATCATCAGTTGATTCACAGTCTAATGCACAAATCTGAAAATATACCATGTACATAATATAAGAATTAAACACCATATAATTTTAATTGCCATAATTTTGTTGTGTTCATACAAAATAAATATATGTTTTAATCAAATCAATAATTATGCCACCATACAAGCCATTTAATCTCTGATCAAAATACGCATATCAATTTAGCATTTAACATTAAAATGCCTGAATGAATTTTCATTGAGTTTTAAGAACCTTTACAGTCAAAAGTAAATGTGAAATCGTTTCACATTCACCAATCAGAATTCAGGTATGATGAAGATGAAAATTATTACTTACAACTGGTAATAAAGGCAGAATTTCTTGAGGTGATGTTTCATAAGCCCTTCCATTACTACTTACTAAAAACTTTAAGACTGAAATATATAATCACTTTGTAAATTGTATATGGACCATTGGAAAAACAACATACATCAGAAATTATAACGTCTGTAGAGACTTCATTCAGTGAAAAAAAAAAACCAAAACACACAGTTTTGACATATTCCAATACAAATTTATTTGTTTCACATGAATAGTCTGACTGTGATCAATTATTCTCATTAGCCTAATTCTATATCTATATTGATCTGATGAAAAATAAAAGAAATTTTACCTGTTTTACACAGTCTTATAGCTTCTTTTCTATCTTCTTCTGAATTACTTCCATCTACTTCCATTAACGTTGTACCTTCATCTACAAATGAAATTCAAAAATATAGCATGACTTACAACATAATAATGAAATAAGAGATGATGGAAGTCTTTTTTGGACATAAATCACATATATAGCATTTAATACTAAGAGGATTAGTATCAGAATTATTATCCTCAAAACTCTAAGGATATGGACTGCATTCAGGTTGTAATATAACTATTGTTTGACTAATAATTGGTAAATAGTAAAGAGTAAAGTGAAAAGGCCCACCCTCAAATCTCTCAAAATACATTACAAATTACCAGAAGAAGATGCATAATAATTCCTACCTGTCTGAACTTCAACTGTATCTTTCAGTTTATCTAAAGTAGGTAATATCATCTTCATAAAGTCTGATTTAACTGGTGATCTTACATTCTTATTTAATTTATAATCATAGAGATAGATATTAGATAGTAAACTGTAATATAGAATATATATATATAAAATAGTTATTAATAGTTATACAACTTTATATACACCTGACATTTGTTTCAAACTAGTCTGTAGAAAAATAAATAAATTTTGAAGCCAATCAGCTTTCTTATCTACATGGTGTCTTCCCATATCACCCTTTCCCAATTCGCATTTCCCCATTTGCCCCATAATCCCTATTTTTGCCACTTATCCAACTCTGCCTTATTCGCAAAATGCCATTTTCATGTTGGCAATAGGGCGAACAGGGAAGAAGGGGCGAAATGACAAGGGGGCAGGTTTGAACAGGGATGAAATAAAAAAAGAGTGATATAGAAAAGTGGCCAAATCCACCAGAAACAAATTGGAAAGAATGGGAATAGAAAAAAGCAAAATGGGAATGAAGGAGATTTAAAAAGATTGGGCCAATACAGGAATAAACCCATCTTCATTGTACAGATAAATACAATAAAACATCTCACAAGGTCATTAAATACATGTATATGACAGGGAGTGCTGTGGTATAAGAATATATTTAAAATTCATTGCAATTCATACTAAAAAAAAAAAGGCTTACCTGCCAATTTCATCTCGAACAGCTTTATATTGATGTGATAGATGTTGAGATACAAGACTTAATATTCTGTGTAATATTTCAGGAATTCTCCATTCTTGTTGAATAACACTATATAATATCATAGATAAACGACTGGAATCACCAAACGCTCCACCATCACCACTTAATGGACTGGTTAACAGAAACTCATACAAGGCAGATAACTTTCTTGGATCACGACTTTCCTACAAACATATAAAAAGATATCAATTTCATGTCATACTATTCAGAGCTAATGAAGACAGGTAATTCCATGCAGCTGGCGATGGGAATTCTTCAAAAAGTATGGCCGCAATATGGTCAAGTTTTATATCATTGACATGTGTTACTTAGTTATATATAAATGTATGGTCTTAAAGTTTACATAGCAGAGTGCTCTCCCATAGCCCTTCAGCCTTCAATGCTGCTTAGCCTATACACATGTTATTTGGTGGACAGATCCATACTACTGGGCACAAGTTAAGTAAATTTAAATATTAAGCATGGAGATGTAAAAAATGTAACCTACTGTAATAGAACTGTAAAATGTTTTCCAATCACTGACAGTTTCTATACTATAGTTACTTATTGTTGTTTTTAACAACGGTATAGCCCACTTCCATAACTCTTCAACCTATTATCAAATATAAAACATAAGAATTAGAACTTATTAAAACACTCCTTCAGGGTTTCTCATACAAGAGTGAGATATGCCAAATATAATCATGTATGCTGAAGACAAACAATACCAAGACATCCAATGTGATATGACGTTTAATAGTCTAAAACTGCATGACCATCAAAGGGAAACTAGAACTAAAAAATTCTAAAAACTAGTATGTCTTCATCATGACATAAAAGTCAGCATATTTCTTAATTTCAAAGTTATACCTTCCCGTCCCTAATAACATTATCTTAAAGAATATTAAGCAAAAACTCTTCAGTTAATTCATCAGGATTTTTGACTTCAACTGTGTAATACTTACATGTTGGAAAGACCAATGTTTAGCACCACGTATTGCACCAGCTAATATCTCCATACCACATCTTTGACTACTGTGTTGTTTATCATGACTTGTATCTAAGATTAATCTTTCTATATGTGGTTTAAATATATCCAACATACATATACCATAGTTTCTAAATAAACCCTACAAAAATCATTGTGCACTATAGATTAGACAGCAAAACAAATCCATTGTGGTCTTAAAACATTCATAGCAGAGTGCTCTCCCATGAACCTTTAGCCTCGAGTTTCAATCTTTTCCCTGCATCATGTTTAATACTAGTGGGTAGTGGTTGTCTACCCTGTATGAGGATATGTAATAGGATCAATAATCTATACAATTCGCAATGTTAACAATCTGATGCTGATACACATATTTACTTCTGAAATTTTGGATGATAGATTGGTAATCATTAGAAAATGCTAGAGACTATTCTGATTTCAGATAATCATAAAGTCTCTTATGTGTTTGCACCTCTTTGAAATGATCTTATGTAAAATATTTACTCTAATTACCTTATATAGTGTTAGATATTTAGATCTAAATTTATCACGACCTTTATTTTCTTCCAGTGATAGATAAGAGATTAACTTATCAATAAAAACTGAATCTTGAAAATGGTCATAGATTATCACTTCACATTCACTCAGATCTATCCTCTTCCTGTTTAACACTGGTTGTTCTCCTGGTGGTGCATGTACCAACATCTCTCTACAAAAGATCAATGATAACATTTTCTTAAATATTTACCTTTTAAGTTGTTAAAGCGCAATTTAAGGTGTCTATTTCAATAAATGATCCTTTTTTTGTTGTTTGGGAAAGTCACATAGCTTGAAAACAGGTTCAAATGAGAAGAATTGCTCTACGTACTTTGGCCACTGATGATAACCCCAGTGAGTTTTCTCCACAAAAGCAGCATTATTCCACTTCTCTTCTGTATCAACAATATTGTGAGAATCATAATGATGCCATGAGTTATCTGGTCTGTCACCAATATTAATTTTGTCACCACTAGAGGGAGGTGTGGTATTTGACCTTTTATATGGGTCAACTTGTATCATTTTATGTTTACGTTTCTGTTGCTTTAGAATAGCAGATACACCTGACATTCCAACCTGAAATCATTAAAAATTCATGGATATCAAGATGAAATGTATAAAACCTCTGACCAATTTACTTTATTTCATTATTTTTTCTCTCATTCCTTATTCTCTTTATCATACGAGTAAAATCGTCTTAGTTTCGATTGTGACATCTGGGCATTGACATACCCATTTGAAGACAAGCTGACTGGCCAAAGTACCAACCTTTCGAACATAGAGAGAGTCATTAATTAATTGTTTAGTAATTAGATTGACAACTTTAGGTGGTGCTGGTATATCATGTCTTAACAATAATAACATAAACTCCATTCCTACTTCTACAAACTTCCATGTTCTAAAATACACAGTAAATACTAGATTATAATAATAGTAAGATTCTGTCACTGTTAAAATAGTGCTCAACACACATAGAGTGTTATTGAACTACCACAGTCGAGTCTGAACTATATTGTTACTCAGAATTCAGTCTCTAGATCTTTTCAATGTCACACAACATGAAACTCACAGTAACAACAAATTTTTGCCATAATACATGAAAATACTGGATTATAGCAATTAACTTTTATAAAAAACAATAAATATATATATAAAAAAACAATATTTGCTATGTGGACTAACCAAATGGGATGCTGAGTACAATGTATATACATAGTACATTGTTTTCTTATGTGACTTTTATGTGTACTATTTTGCATGTACTATCAAAGCATTCTTATAAGTCATAAACTTTGTCCACAATAGCAACATACTTAAAATTTCCTGCAATATGCATTCAGAATACACAAACAAAATATCTTTTAAATGATTCACTTACAGTTTTCCACTTTCAATAATATCAACTAACTTATCTACTAAACTTAGATATAACCTAAAACATAGAGTATATTTGTAAAGAAAATATGTTTGTGTTAAAGGATTGTTTTTAACTTGGACCTTGTCTATTACAAAGGTTTTTATACAATGCAAGACAGATGAAATGATATATTACTTTTCTATGCATATTTTGCTTTTATGAGCATACCATGTAGTGTACAATGATGGATATTTTGTCAAGACAGAAGCTTAGGCTTCTTTTTACAACACATTTCCTTTTGTCAGGAGATCTGTTATGTACACAGCATGTAGCATTGTCTTGGTATATTGTCCTATTCCAACAACTAACACAATAAGCAACTAACACCCTGTTAACTGACAGGGTTAAAAATCTTAATCGCACTCCAGACCACAAGGAAGACATAAAACTTACTGTAGGGCTTGTTTATTTCTGTTAGCCTCTGATTGTTGACCATGTAATAATAACTGTTGATCACCAGGACTGTGGTTAGGTTTAGGATGGTCTGAACATAGTAGTTGTTTAGCTGACTCCAGACATTTATCACTAACCTATAGAAAGGATATCATTTACATCAAATTGGCAGCTGTTAAAACACAACATGAATTTTTGACAACAGATTGGTCGTGGCAACAGCATTTTTCTTTACCTTGAAGATGATTTCAACCCATAGCAGATGACAATCCAAATCGCTGAGCTGAGCTATTCAATTCCACTTCCAACCATGAAGACACACAATTAAGCAAACAATGAATATGCAACAGTAGTCGATGCTTCAATCTACATACCAAAACTGTTAAGAACCCAACTTACCAAAATATCTATTGCAATGGTATCCAAATTCTTCATGACTTTAAGCACAATATTATCAATAACTTTCAGAACTGTAGGTTTTTCTGATTGTTGAGCTTGAATAAGACCTGGCCATAGTTCATTTAATACTGACCAATTTCTTTTAGTAGCTAGACATTGTTTACTGCCTTGATTATTATTAAGTCTCATAGCATCTAATAGAGAAGTTCTGTTTCCAGGGTTTAATATTGTATATAATGCACCCTGAAATTCAATAAATTAATAAGTGATTTTAATTCTCCTATATACTATATGACCAATATATCATATGAGACCTTCTTTTAGGACCATGTCCACACATTTAATAAGCATTGTGTTTAGAAAGTGGAGCTGACCTTTAATTACTAGACACTAACTACCAAAAGAGACTTTCAAAATCTTTACTGTTGGTACACAGCAAGACCAGATATAACTTTGAACTCAAAATGATACGTTGGAGTGGAACATCTATCAGATGAGAGATATATTATAGTATAAGTTTAATGGCTTTTTTCCCAAAATGAAATCAAGGACATGCGTACTGCCTAACAAGTACAACAAGTGAATACGAATGATACTAAGAAATATGAAATATATCAGAAAAAATAAACATGAATACCTTAAATCTATGTTCTGGTATACCCTGTTGTTTTATAATATCAACTATTGGTTGTATAATACAGCTATAGGAATAGGGGAAATGATGAAATGCTGTTTGTAAACAAGACTGTGATTTCTTTCTTACCTACAAAATATAATCAAAGGTTTCATTTACTTTCAAATGCACTGAATGTGCAATGTACTTACTTTGCTATAGTTACTAAATGATAAAGAATGTATATACTAACTTACTTCATTATAGTGACTAACTGATCACTATAGCGACTAAATGATAAATTATATAAATACTTACTTCGCTATAGTGACTTACTTATAAATCATATAAATACTTACTTCATTGTAGTGACTAACTGATCACAATAGTGACTAACTGATTCATTATATAAATACTTACTATGTACTTTACTATAGTGACTAACTAATAAACCAAATAAATACTTACTTCACTATAGTGGCTAACTGATAAATCAAATAAATCTAGTAACATTTCTTTATGTAAACTGGTAAACTTCTTGGGAGATACATGAAGAATTCTTAACTAGAAATAAAGACAAGTTATTTTAACTAAGTAAATACTAATGAATTTTACTCAATAAAAATCAATGGTAATGCATGATTAACTAGTTATAATAAAGCTTCAACTTTAACTAGACTAGAGGTACTAGCAACTGCTTGTATTCAATTGATCGCGGATACAAGCAGTCTGTGTATATCAGTTCAGCCGAGCCATCCTTAACTAGTAGAAAGGGGCTGTAGGCACAGGATCAAAAATACTCCAAAATCTATATATTTCTTTCTTTTTTCTTACCTCATGTTGTAACTGAATTCTATCTATTAACATAGCTCGTATATGATTCTTTTTACCACGTAACTAAATATAAAATAATACATACAAATATCAGTCATAACAAAATATCATCATTAACAACTTAGAAACATTCTTGTATTATACTGCCTGACTTTCCACTGCCTCGCACATTAGAAGGACAAAAATGATTTTCTCAAGTCCTTTGTATCATTGCAAAGGAGAACAAGGATGGAAAACAAAATAGGTTAAACAACTTTTGGCTTGCACAAGAGGTAGATATGCAGTAGCTACAAGGACAATGAACTTACTTTATCTTCAAGTACACTTTTCACAAGATGAAAACCTTTCCATCTACCATCAAAATCATTTTTAGCAGCTCCATAATACATCATAACAAATTCATATATCTACAATAAACAATAAATGTTAAACATTACTAATCAGTAAAATGACTAAGAAAATACAAATATATAAGACACTAGGTAACTGTTTTCATTACATAATATTTTTGTTTCTTACATCAACCACTTTTTACTAGGTAATAATTTAGGTTCACGAGGGTCCTTTTTCCTAGCTAGTCCATTGTCAAACATCTTGGCATTGATCTTTCCCAGATTGTCTGTACTTCTGTACAGCTGGGTTGACTAAAATAATGGCAAAGAAGGCTTATTCAAAATCACCAGATTTTCAAACTCCATCCGAGATTAGAACCAACGACCACCATCTATTCGTAATAACCAAGCAAACATGATGTTATGTAAAGATTGTAATGTTTTAATCTCAGAATTAATAACATTCTGTCTCTGACCATGTAGTCACCCTTTACAAACACAGTGTTAACTAACAGAAGTAACATATATCCTCTAGTTTGAAACAATTTGATGATAAAAATGTCAGATATCTCACTGACACAACTTAATATAGTTTAGATAAAAGACAGAAAACATACCTCAACTATTTTCTTTAAATTCTTAGTTTCATCTTCCCTATGTTGTATAAATTCTTCTACAATATATAATAAAAAACATAGTGTCAAAACTATCATTAGCAAAATGAGTATTGAGAGAAATTGGTTAGCTAACTTGTGTATCTGTATCTGACATCAACACCACTAAACACACACCAGCATGAAACTTAATGTAAAATGATCAGGGATATTAGCGATAAAAACAAACACCTGACAACTGAATTTGAAGAGTTGTTTGAACGTAAAGATATGTAGACCATGTCATGATTGGATTTATCAGTTTTGCAACTTAGCCCCATCAGGGGTGTTTTAACCCTTACATGTCATACAATTCTTTCAACTTACTTAACATGTGTCTAGCAGCATTAGCAATGACTTTTCTTGTATTTTCACCATTCAAAGTTATTTCTGATAAAAAAAATACATAAAGCATTAAAAATTAATTACTAAACACATTAAAGAAATCACATATGAAACTACAGCATATTTCATTAATTATCAACAATTATTCATAGTTAAGTTAGAATGAAATTGACCCAAATCACACAATAACTTAACACATAACATTGCACTTCCTAGTAAAACTTCTAATTTTCTCTGCTCTTTTAAACATATTTTACTCCAAAAAAAAAAAAAAAATGACAAGTAAACAACTTTAAATTCTTACCATGTTTATCAGTGGAATTAAGACTAGAAAATCTTCCCATATAAATTTCACTGTCTACTCTATAATTTTACAAATAATATGTTATTATCACAAAAAACAAATAAAATAAATTCTTATAGATTAAATTAGAGTGAAAGAATTTCATCATTAAACATTTCAACACTAGCTGCACATAATTGCATAATATAATATTAATACTATTCTTTTCTAACTCTATCAGAAATAAATACCTGAAGTACGACAAAATGTACTTACAGTTGAAGAGCTTCACCATCCCAAATAGGTAGAAAACATCCAGCTCCAATTATACATTGTGTTATAATATTCAGTCTACCTGTTAACAATTCTCTATAAACAAATAGAAATAATATTGGGTGGGATGCTGCTGATTTATAGAAATTGGCCAACTTTTAAATATAAGTATGTGCAAACTTAATAAAAACAGTAATTATGACTTAATCATTTCTCCCAGTGTTCAACAATATATGACTTTTGCTAACATTGTATATCAATTTTGGCTTTTCCATTAATATCAGAAGAGGCTTATAGTCTGATTTTCAATATTTAATCTCCATAGCTTTTCTTTATTACTATTCATTACAATAATAATATAAAAAACCTAATAAATTGGTGAACACTGCTACTTTTTAGATATCAAAGAAATGAGCATGTATTAACTAGCAAAAAAACATGATGGCATTACAATGCTCTCTACATTTTTGTCGAAAGATTCACTAACCTATCTATGGTAGTTTGGCTAGAAAACGTTTTCATCATTTCAACTTCAGGAATCAGAAATTGATTAAATAGTGTCTGAGCTAACTGAATTTCTTCAGCAGATGGTATGTGCCATTTCAAATCCAAATTATCTAAATCTCCAGCAGCAGCCCAATCCTAGAATAATATTAACATAATCTGATTAATGAAACAAAATGTAGTTTTGCCGTTGGGAATGAAGACAATTTTACCAAAGCAATTGGCAGGTAGACTGCAACCAGGGTGTTTAAGACATTAGCAGAACAAATGGTGGTTTTTATAGAAAAACAGATGGCAGTTTTGTTGGTAACTGTCCTCTTTTCTAAAATCAATCCAAGTTTTCTACTACAGTTTTGTTCTAATGATGCTTCTTTGATAACAATGATGAATTGTTGAATACTGAAAAACCTAAGATAGTGCAATATGACCAGGTTGGGTTTGACATCTCATAATTCATCATTGCTATCAAGATATTGCTTATACATTATACTCCTTGATTGGTTAAAAATACTTTAAGAGAACAGGACCTCTGTAGAAAACTTGTAGGATTACAATGGTTACAAAAAATATCAGAAAAAAAGAAACAAAACTGTATTCTAAAATTTTTAGATTGATTGGAAAGTTGACTTGTAAAATATTCAATAATGTTCTTACCCTTGTAGGTAAATGTTCAGTCCAATTTGTTTCCTCTAATAAATGTATAGTACTACAGAATTCTAGTGGAAAAGTCTGGGTTAGTACTTTTAGTATATGTGATAATAACTGACCAGCTATTTCACTACCATGTTGACAACGAAGATATAGTGTTTTCTTCAGTACTTCAATTAACTGTTGACTATAGGGTAGTAACTTTTTACCATCACATCTTACTATCTATAATAATACATAGAAATCAAACAGGTTATTTCCAACTGATATGACAACATAAACATAACAGGGCAAGTAAAGTTCTGTCTTTTTGAAGCTGATTGGATTTCTTTAACCCAAACTTGAAGCTATGATGTTAAATTGAAATGAAATAAAACAGAGCGATATGTGTGACTGTTACAAATGAAATGAAATGAATGGAGTTTTACGTCCTACTTTTCTGCACCATGTGTGTGACTGTTACAGCTTAAGTTATTGAAAACAGACTGTGCAATGCATTGTATTTTGAGAGAAATTTCACTTAGACAGTGGCAATAGTCTTCTGTTTTCAAATGTGCACAGCCTGCAAACAGCCTTTCCAAATTCAAGGATGACAGATGTCCAAATTAGACCACTTGAATAGATTTCAAGGTTTTATATCTAGTAAAAAGCTTCATGGTCCAGTAAAATAATATTTGACATGGGTAGTCAGTCAGTCTAAAACAATTCTCTATCATGAATATAAAGTGTCAGCTGGTTACTACCAAGACTATAATATCTAAAACATACCTGAGATACCATCAATAAATTCCAGAGAAAACTGTTATCTAAATGTTCCTCATTGACAGCATCTTCATCTACAATAATAATATACATCACTGAATGATGTTTCTTGAAACAAAACACAGAATTAAATCAGATATACTTTAAGATGCTATTATCAATTATGATTCAAACCTGAACAAAACTTCACCTGGTTATAAACTTCAATCCATTTGACCAATCCTACCTTAGTCTCACAGGCAGAAATTTCTCAGCTAACCTAATCAATAATAATGTTCACAACTCACCAGTAGCAATATTTGATCACAAATCACAAAATTCCTTTTAAAATACTTTAAACAAGGAATATTCTATATATCAGAGTATCAAGTCGTTATATTAACATTCAAACACAGATAATTATGGACACACATGGATTTGAAGGCTCAATTTTGACGTTAAGCTGTGAACACTATTACTGATTGGCTTAGCTAAAATATTCCCGTCTCTGGGACTAAAGTACATTTGGTAAAAATAATGTTGCATCTGTCCCTTTAAGGTATAAATCTTTACTTACTATCTTGAAGATATTCCACTATTTTGTCACAAAAATGAGGTAGGAAAAGTTTCAAAGCTTCTTCTGGGTGTACCTGAAAACATCCAAAATCAGGATTTACCAAGCTTTTATAACAATACAATGGATAGTTTAAGAAAACAGTGGTTTATACCAACCTAGACATCACAGTAGGTTTGCAAGGATTGGATGAATCAAGGAACTCATTAATTTAATTAATTACAGTGAATAAAAATAATCACAATAAATTGGCATGTTTCTTGACAAAGGTTTTACAAAGAATTCACAGGTCCAAATTAAAGATATTTTAATATGTTATTGTTATGAATCTTAATAAAGATAAGGTAATGAAACTAACCTTAGTCACAGCTCGACATAAATTAGCAGCAAATTTCCCACTGACTTTAGTTTCATAAACATTACTAGTAACAAACTGATAGATTTTCTTTAATGCACTCTACAATATAAATTAAATCTTTTTAATCAATTTGATTCAGTAAAATTCTTTCATAAAATCCAATCATGCCCTAGTGAATTTGAATAAGTCATCTTTCCTCAATATTTTAGTCATACAACTACACAATAAGTAGTGATAATCTGAAAAAGTATAATACAGAGGTTTGGCCTTGGTCCATTCTATAATAATGTTACTGGAGAATCTTGTTATCCTTATAAAACAGGTTTGTTCTTCCATTTCGTTTCAGTGATGGCACAAGTGGGGGTACAGGTGCCTGTTATTTGTGTTCAGGGCTCTATAGGCTAGCTCTGTCATTGCTGTATTTGCTTACCTTATAAATAGGAAAAGAACATTGTTGAAAGACAGATGAAGCAGTTGAAGATAAACCCATTTCTACTACATGTTGTTCTGTATTTAATTTACTTTGAGTTCCACTTGTTACCTCTTGAGCACTAGCTTCAATCAATGTAAACACCCTGAAACAATTAATTCAAACATTTGAAACAACAATATAAACATTTGAAACAATAATATAAACATTTGAAACAATAATGTAAACATTTGAAACAAGTATATAAACATTTGAAACAATAATATAAACATTTGAAACAACAATATAAACATTTGAAACAATAATATAAACATTTGAAACAACAATATAAACATTTGAAACAATAATGTAAACATTTGAAACAATAATATAAACATTTGAAACAATAATATAAACATTTGAAACAATAATATAAACATTTGAAACAATAATGTAAATAAAATTGAAACAAGTAAGATAAACAAATTGAAACAAGTAAGATAAACAAATTGAAACAAGTAAGATAAACAAATTGAAACAAGTAAGATAAACAAATTGAAACAAATAAGATAAACATATTGAAACAATTTGAAACAAATAAGGTAAACATATTGAAACATTAAAGTAAACATTTGAAACAATAATGTAAACATACAGAGGAAATTTAAACAATATTAAAACAATTAATGTTTGATTTGATTAAATAAAGTTAAAAATTTGGACATTCATTAATTAGTTAATAAAATAACGAAACATACCTATCCAGAAATAGTAGAACAAAATCTTCAAATTGAGCAGTTGCTAAACATATTTCCCTTTCATACTGAAAACACAAAACTAATGTTGCAAATACATCAAGATTTTACGACTTACAAATACAGGCTTTTACAAGAAAATAAGATAAAGCTTATTATAAAAAAAAGGATTTCAGAAGAAACTTTTTAAGAACAAAACTTGATGATACTGAATTTAATTTGACAGATAGCATCCTTTATGGTTTATTTCAAAATTCTGACAAATTCTGAATGCTTTAACTTGAGATTTGTAATTTATGTTTCAGTTTGGATAGTTTAACTGCTGCAGGCATTTCATGGAGGTCAGGTATAAGATATTCCCAAAACATGTATGAACATAAATAAGCTTACCTCTGATAAATCTGTTCTAACATGTACAGCTTGTGAACAATCTATTATTGGTATTAATGTGGAAAATGTTGATAACATCTGGAATGTCATCTACAAATATAATGAAATAATGTTATCAAAATAATAATTAACTGATACTGTTGATAAAAATATAAAACATCCCTAGCAAAGAAAACGATCTTCTAACCCTTGCTATATATATCATTGAGCTCTGTTGATCTTTGAGTTTAATTTTTTAAAACAACATGATTAGTCATCACTTCTCAATTCTCTATAGGCCAACGAATCAATAGTACAAACAAATGCGTTTATATTATAGATGATATCGTGTCAAATATACGGGATGATAATGGTGTCTGTGATGTGCCAAGTCTCTGCGCATTATACACAGGTAAATGGAGTTTTCCCAATTTTAAGGATAACAACTTAGGTTCACAGTTAAGGATCCTTTCTACCAGCTGGTCCTTGGTCAAAGCTCTTGACATTGATCTTTCCCAGATTATCCATACCCATTTACAGCTGGGTTGAGTAGAATTATGAGTAAAGATGACTTATTCAAGATCATCGGACTATCACACGCCGATTGAGAATTGAACCCGCAGACGCCATCTGCTCGACAAAACCAAGCAAATGACGTCATGTTAAGAACAAACGCTATTGAATCTCACAAAACTAAATTAAACAATAATAATTTGGTATGACAAATTTGAAATGAAAAGATTAATTCAATTCTAGCACATCCTAGCATGAAATATTTTAAAACTACAATTTCATCTATTCACTTCTTTGATATTTTCTGAGAAAAAAAAACTTCGAAATATTGCACTGACCAATAGTGAAATTAACGAAGTCTACTCCTAAATGACAAACGTCCAGTTACAAAAATCTATAAAGAAAATGTCAAGAATATACTTACCAATGATTTTTTAAAGTCATTAGGGTCTATACCAGGTAAAGCCAAGTTTAATAATGGTAAGACATGAGAAGGACCTTCAGGATACCATTTCTTAGACCTCAACATAGGTCTAGCTACAGATACAATACAGTTTATACATGATATTAATCTATGTGGTTCTATCAGAGTCTCCATAGCAGGATACATTCTACAATAGAACAATTTACAAAATATCTTGAAATCATGTCCATTAACAGCATAATTATGGAATACTTTTAGGATGAGGCATATAAATGCCAAAATAACTGGATGAGATATGCTAACACTGTTTAAGGACAAACTGTGAAGAGTGATGATGCTCTGTTTTAATATTTAGTTTCATATATAACTTTTGAAAAACATTCAACATCTTTGATCTTGACCAGTTTAAATATGCCAATTGCTAAAATTTTTAAATGATATTTTCCTTTAAGTCCACATTATATTCAATTATCCTTTAAACAAGAAATTGTGAACAAAACTATAGATGGACAATATACAATATCCACAGTTTAAACAATTCTATCTACATAGACAATACTTACTTCTCTAGTAAAGTAGGTACAATAAGTTCAGGTCGTAAAGTAGCTAGATATCTAACAGCTACTGCTGATTCTTGACTTCCAATTTTACCAAACATTGCCAAAAATACACAAGATTTTAAACTTTCTACGAAATAGGTGATATCATCATCATTGATTTTATATTCATCTGGTACTGGTCTCTCCCATGTTAATTTCTTATATCTTTCTCTAATTAAAAGAGATGATATATTGTTATTACAAATTATTTTCACTGTTAAAATAGTGCTCAATACAATTCAAAACTTTGAGCAACAACATGTTTCAGGTTCTCTCTTAATTCTATGACAAATAAAATATCTTTATAGTCAGTGACAATAACAATTTGGATCTTGAAAGAGATGATATAAAAAAAGCTGTCAGGCTGCTGGATGTCATTCATTAGTGCAAGTCTGTTACTCATTTAATTCTGAGTTTTCATACGATCAAAATGACTTTCCACCATGTTCTGCTCAAAAAATGGGAAACTGGGTACAAGAGTTGAATAATCTGATTGTACAGAAATAAATGAAATAAATACCTGTTTATTCTTTTGACAAATTGTTTTGGAAATGTTGTTAAAGTTAATGTTAACCTCACCTAAAATAATATAATGATAGAAGAAATATTAAATCTATTCAATTTTCAACATGATTCATTCGTAACTCAATAGTTAGATCTACATTGTAGTATTGACAATAGATATATTTAGCTGTCTCTGCAGATAAACCCTCAAAATATAGATATTCACACTCTGAAGATGGAAACCAGTAAATTATTTCTATTCACAAGTGCTGTTTAATTGTCAAAAAAAAATCCATCTACCAAATATTATGCACGATAAAAACTTATGGGGACAAAGAATATGCCAAATTCTAGTATTTGTATTGTCTAAATCAAGTGTTTTACCAGTACTTACAATCCAAGGTCCAGTGTTTGAGGGGTGGTAAAAGGTCTGTAAAGCTTTAAACAATTTATTGATATGCTCTAAAGCTATCCTATCTGGTCCCTAGAATAAACAAATATATTACATATTAGATAAATGATAGGTAATAGTAGAAGAGCTCAAATCCAGGATATAATACACAAAGCGGTTCACCAAAAAATGTGGTTAATTGGTCTGTTTCTACATGTCATTCTGTTGATAAGTTGACATCCAGGGCACCGTCCCTCAAAAAATCTCTAGTAAGAATTTGTCAGAAGTTTGAAATTTTACATTAAGACATACCAAACATACAACCAACTAATCATGAGATATTTTGTGAAACAGATCTTAGGATACATATATGCTCAAAAAAGCAGCGTTTTCAAAAACAATTCAATAGGAATAATGTCTTTAAGAAATGTTTTTATTGGCTAATTGAAATATATACTAACTATCATAGCTACAATCCATGTAACAACAGAGTTCATATCAATATCACCCATTTTAATACCACTATTCATTCTTCTAGCATCTTGTTGTCCAACAGGTAGATTAAAACTTCTTAAAACACGAGTAAATATCTACAATATAATACAAATGTATTACCATTGATATCATTCTTTATATTTCATACCTATTTGAACATTACTCTTAAGCAATTGTTCATCTGATTGGTCAATCAAATTTATTTCTAGTTTTATAATCCAATCAGATTACTATATTTTTTAAAATCTGCACTTTGTCTAAGTTTATTGTTAAGAATATGACCTCAGGATGGGAATTAATTATTAATTAATAAGATCTTACCTTAGGAATATAGGGTTTCCAATCAATATAACCAATATTATCATAGGCTAATCTTGAAAATATTGATACCAAATTCTAAAAACAGAAGTTAAAAAAAGTGAAGAAATTGTTTATAATAAATATTTGTTCAGGCTCTAAAATATGTGATTCAATCATTGTATTTTCCAACGTTGTTGATGGCTTTCTATCCTATAAGTGAGTTGTCCTAAAATTTTGCATTTGACTGACACTAAATGACATTCGATATCCAACCTATACTTAAGAAGAAGCTTTCATTTGAGCTGCTCTGCTGGTCATGTCCAGAACCAAATTAACAGTCATAGTTCAGAGTAAGAATATCAAATAATTATTCAAGAGAGGCAGTGAAGCAGTTTATTGCTCGACAGAAATAGTTTAATATAAAACATACTGCTTCCCAAGAGGGTTTGCTCTTATAAGAATCATACATCTGCCAAAACTCATCAAACCATAGCCTAAAAAATTAAAAAAAATCATTTACAATAAAAACAGATGACAAAAAAAATGACTCAACATTTTGTGAATTTTTGTCATGCATTAATCCAGTTAAATGTATCTCTCCGAGTGGAGAAAAGTCTTGGAAAAATTGGCTGAACATCAAGGGATCTGATACAATCTAAACCTTAACTACAGAGATACGCAGGAATTGTGAAGCAATAACTACAACTAGAAGCTACTTACTTAAAACCTTTATCATGATGTTCTGGTGGTAAATTAGTTGGTAGAAATACATGTAGATAATTCAAGGCTTTTAATATCGTCACATCAAAGGGACATAATAATGGTCTCCATTCATCTAACATTTCTTGAGTTGCTTCCAATGGGAAATAACTGAAAAAAGGTTATTAAAAGGAATGCCTAAATTGTTAATATGGCTGTATTTACCAGTTATGAAGCTAAATATATAGTGAAGTGGTTGGTTGAGGTATTCATCATGAGGAAGTCTATTTCAATATTTCTAAACCCAAATTCCAATGGAGAATTTTGTTCTAAAGATTACTTCTTAAGACCTATTGCAGAAAATCTTACTGATAATCAAATTGTTTACAGAACTAATTATATATTTGTAAATTTTACTGTTTCTTGTAGGTTTTGTTTTAAAAAAGATTAAAAAATTGTTTTCATACTTACTCTCTACAATTCCTAATTAAATTCTTCAAAATACCTTCAATATTCCTACAAAAATTAGACATTTATTATTCTCAGATAATCAATAATTTTGTTCTTGGTTATAGATAGATAATTTGACTTTTACATCCAGTCTTTCAATGCCTTACTAGAGTTAACCAAAAGCAAATTAGTGCTCCAAAGCGAAGGAAAAATGAACATTTTTATGTTTTTGACTACTACATGCAGAGTTTGACGAAAATTTGAATGAGAAAACATGACATATGAAGAAAACTTACGAGGGTAAAAGATGAAGTCCAAGTGGTTCAAACTTTGAATTTACAGTTACTTCACATAATTCATACAGTGGTCTCCATGGCAATTCCAGATCTTCTCTTGTCAATAATTCTTTTTTTCTACAAATACAAACAGCCATGAGATACACTTACTGGTGAAAATTATATCTTCAAATGGTCATTTAGAGTGCTTATCTTCTTTTCAAATGTTTTCATAGCTAATAGATCAAGATATTAGCTTACAATACTTTGTTATGGTATCTAAAACTCACATGGCATTTTTCCAGTTCCAATGATATATGACACTGATAAATATAGCCCCATCAAACTTCCAATTTGAATCAATAAAATTATAACAAGTAATAAAAAACCAGTACCTACTTTAATAAGACAGACAACTTAGACGCAAACTTTCCAACTAATGCAAGTTCCAGATCAGGTATAGTCACTAATTCATACATCAAATGTATAAACTTCAAATGGTCTTCTTTAGAAAAACAATATCCATATACACGTATGTATCTGAAAAAAATTTCAATTTACAGTTAAAACCTTCAAATACTGTAGTCAAATAACATATTTCAAAGCTGGCAGAAATATTTTTTTTTGACAAAATCTTAAACCAACCAATAAAAGGTAATCGAGACAAAGTTTCATTCACATGTCACTATTTCAAAAGACATGGCAACTAGTATTCAAAAAGAACATTTTGAGAAAGTTGTATGAAATGGTGGTATGAATTTTATAGCGTTTTTAATTTTTAACAATTTTCAGAGACTTGTGAAAACTTTTTCAGATTCTAAAGGAAAAGTTAGCTCTGGAGTCATCGAGTCCAATCCAACCCCCGTTCGTCATACTTATAAAGATTACATATTCATAATCAAATCAAAATTTGCCCTACTGTATTGGTAGTAAAATTTCAGCCAATCAGCACAAATCACTCCTTATGACTCTATGTTTGGGAACATAACAAAACGAAAGTAGTGTTAAAACATTTTGATTTAAAAAGTTTGTTTCTTTAGATATTCAATAAAATAATTATAATTGGTTTGTTTCGATTTTCTTTATGAATCTCTCCCCTTGACACATATTTCATGAGTAGCTAATTTGACAAAGGCTGCAAAACGCTTCACCTGTTTTCGTGTACAAAGTTTGATCTATAAATAAGTCGAGATGTATGGATACCCAGTGGTATAATTATTTTTTACTGGTATTTATCTTTAATAATATTTCATTATAACTAATGACAATTACTTCAAAGATCGATGATTTACAAAAAATGATTAGTGACTGAAAGTGACAGGAAGTAAAATGTAGGAGTATGGTAATTCATTGCTGAAATCCATTGAAACAACAGAAGATTATAGCCAACATTTCATTCCATAGATTTTTTCTGCTGACATAAATTCTGCTAATTTGTCACATGACTTTGTTCACTGGAACATTTCTTAGCAGACAATACTTGGAAATCTGATTACAGCTTGGGATTTACACTTATAGTCCCCCTATGTTTTTTGAATCTCAAATTATGTGGAGCCATTAAAAGTACCAACATTAAAACAAGTTTATGCTTTATAATTTTTTGCCATACTACTACTTAACAATTATTGAAAGCCTACACTTCCTTTATTTATTAACCCTTTCAAAATAGAGGTTAATCAAGTAGAAACATAGTATGGTAGTAAATTGCATTCTATGAGAAATATTTTCGCACATAATCTACAGCTACATATCTTTTAAATTTGTACAGTCAAGTAACCTAATTTCGTGGAAACCTATTATTCGTGGATTTCCGGAAATGTTTAATAATTTACATGAGCGACCTTGCGCAACCTCCGCATTAGTTTGTTTTAATAAACATGGGTTTTCTCTACAATGTCAGTTAGTAGAATGAATTCAGTAGTTTCAAGCAATGTATAATGTATTAATGTATACTTTGACAAATACAAAATGGCGGATTTCACTTAATACCAAACATCACCATTTTTTATCGGCCGAATTTCCTTATAATCCCAAGCGGTAATCGGAATTCCAAGTGTCGTCTGCTAGAATGTATTCCAACGAATGAAGTCACGTGATCAACTAGCGGATTCTGTGTCAGCAGAAAATTTCTATGGAACACAAAGTGGACCATATTCTTATGTTGTTTCAGTGACTTTTAGCAATAAATCACGCTACGTCTCTTATTTTGTCAGTCACTATTTTTTTTTAAAATCGTGGATCCATGTATCCATACAACGTTTTTTCTAGACTTATTTATAGATCAAACATTGTACACGAAAATAGGTGACGCATTCTGTGCCCGTTGGTTGGTTGGTTGGTTGCTCATGAAATATGGGTCAAAGTGAAGGATTCATAAAGAAAATCGAAATAAACCAATTTTAATTATTTTGTAGAATATCTGAGGAAACATCTAAGACATAAAAAAATTATATCCACGAAAATAGGTTACACCACTGTATAAAATATCAGAATGCCCTTTTTTTCAGATAACTTGCTCATTCTTACCAAGATACTGACTGTCAACTAGTATGATACCTGAGCCTACCTTTCTGTGTCATAATGGCTGTTCACTGGTCAGTATCTAATAAATAGATACATTCAGAATCTTTTAAAATTAACAGTTGAAATTTAATTACCTTGATAATTGATCCGTCCAATGAGTTGCACCATATTTGATATCTCGTAGTTCTACTGCTCTGCCAAGTTCACCCTTGATTTCAGACAATACTGCAACCGATTCGGTCTTGATCAGCTCTTTATAAGGTAAGTGTTCATTGTAAACAACCAACTTTTGGGGTTCAAACCCCAAATTTTCCATTTTATTAACTGAGAAGAAGAAAAATCTTGAATTTATAATAAAGTTCCTATAATGACAGACAATTTTTGTATTCCGCCATCTTGGATCGTTCACCTTGACACTTTAAAAACGAAGTAGTTGATTGGTTAGTTAAAAATAATCAACTAATCAACATTGGTTTTATTCATTTTCGGAGCAATATAATAGGACATAACTACTTTCATTTTCCTTACATGACAAGCAAAATTGAATTTGGTCTATTAATAAGTAAAGTTTGGAATTTTCTGGTAGATTTTTTTCATTGGTTGTGTCATTTGTTTTATGATGTAAAAATGACAAGTAATCTTGTCTCTGTAGATTATGAAGTTTATGGGCAAGTTCAAGGTACAGACTACAAAGTATAATTCATATGAAACATCTTACAGTGTGGGTGACGACAGTGAATAATGAAAGTTATGACTGAGAACTTTAAGTCTTTAAAATGTCAACTAAACATGCGAAGTAGGCATACAATTCTCACTTACAAAATATATTTTTTTGAATAATGTTGATATCATGTAGTTAATGATCTGAGACTGAGGAGGACTTTTTAAGACTTAAGTTCTTACTAGAAGTAACATGATAGGCCTACATGTGTTGAAACTGGGGTTTTGAAGTTGTTGCCTTAGTCAAAATACAATGGTGTTAACTTTCATAAGCACATCGAGGCTACAACAGTGTTTTTATAAATATATTTTTTGAGACAAACATTCTATATATTTAATATAATGGCTGCTAAGTTTTATCACTATTTTATGTTTCTGGGTCATTGTCATTAAAATCGTCCCTTGTAGCAAGAGGTATTCTTTAGTTGATTTAGAAAACACTTGGTTATGTCAGTTAATAGACCCTATGTAGGAAAGACAATGACATCTGAGTGGATGATTTAGGTGTTGAACAATTTATCACAACTTGAATCTATTTGTTGCAAACAAATTGTTATATACTTTAATACAAATTGAATTATTTTCAATTTCTGTTTCAGGTGTATTTTTTCGACAGGTATGAATATCATTCATTTATTCATTCAATTGTTCCATATTTTTCAACTAGGCCTTTCTCCTGTCAGTAGTTTAGGATGGAAGGGCTGAAATGGAAAAAGTGTCTAGTCATTCACATCAGGGGAAAAGTTGAGGCCCCTTATTATACTGCAGACTATACAAGTTAAAGACTTTTTAGGAATTGAACTAAAGGGTAGGATGTCAATGTCCTTTGAAAAGTTTTTGCATTACAAATTGTCTTCAAGATTGGTATCTGTACAGAAATGTAGTTCATCAAGTTGAGTTCATTGTCCTGCGAAAAGTTTTGATATTGATGCCTCTTGTTACAGAATACAGTAGAAACAGCTACCAAACAAGGATGTGTTGGTTGGGTAAGAAATACTCACAGGGGTACAGTAGAGGGAGTTGTACAAGGCCCTAAAGATAAGATAAACTTTATGTAAGTTTATAAGTAATGGTATATTTTTCTTGCTGATAGGGAGATAATTATAAAATAATTGATAAGTACTTTTCATATAGAGTATTGGAATTGAAATATACAGACAACTAACCTACTTCAGCCTGCACCTCTTCAGGTTCAGTTTTTGTATTCCTATATAACTCTATTATAATATCTCTGGCAAAGTAGCTTTTTCATATTTGTAAAATATTTCATTCCTAAAATTTTGAAATTTCTATTCCAAAGTTTAAATTGAGTTAAATATCTATTTCAGGAAACATTGGTTGCAAAATGTTGGCAGTCCCTTTTCAACAATAGAAAAATGTGAATTTAAAAATGAAAGGAATATTTCATCTGTGGAATTCCAAAGGTTTTTTGTGAAATGAATTAGGCCTAAGTGCATTAAAACCTCAGTTATAGTTTCTATGAAATGGTGTTTGCATTGTACCTGTCCTCATTGAATATTGAAGAGCATTAAATGCCTGCTTAACTTAAACACAATTGGGAGTTTTTAGAATCACAATGGCATTAGATTTTTCCTTTAAAACATATACAGTTGTTTTCTCACAAGTAGTTTCAGAATGGATTGAGATCATGACCTTCAGATAATAGTTGGATATCTAATGGTTTTCCTCAAATGAATTGCAGTAACTTTCATTCCTTCAAATATTGGTTGAAAATATCAAAAGTGCCATTTACAATGTTATATATTTTTCCCAATTGGATTGTTGATTTTCAATAAAAGTCTTGTTATTGTTAATTGTTTTATATTTGTCACTCTTTCCAAACAAATGTCAGAGAAAAGCTCTTGGCATGTTCAGTGCACTGAGCAGATTATGACTATTTTTATTACTATCTAGGGTGAACCATCCAGATAAGCTTTTTTTGGCTCATCATCTTAATAAACATGAGGACAATTATGTTACATATTTTCATTTGGCTATGGTTTTGTGACTGTATATTTTTGTTTTAAACATTTATATTGTATCATGTAATTTACAATTTTACAACAAACATCACTATTAATATATTTGATGTTTTACAACAGACATCACTAAAAATATATCATATATTTTACAACAAACATCACTATCAATATATTACATACATATAATCTAAAAGAAACATTACTATCAATAGATTATATATTTTACAAAGCTGCTATATTATGTGTTTTACAATGAACATCATTATAAATATATGAACTTATTAGATACATTTACAACAAACATTGCTTATATACATTGTTTAAGATTATATATTTCACAACAAACATCAGTATTAATATAATTTATAGTGTAGGCAACAACAAACATCTTATCAATATTTTTTTACATGACACATGACTTTTTGTTTATTATAAACAACACTTTGGCGAGGAGTATTTAAATGTTGTCCTTAGGCCTATTACTATGTTATTTTCCCCTTTCCAAACTCTTCTGTAATTAAAGATTAGAAAAAGTATTCAGTCACGTGAGAACTGGTCTGCTTCGAGTTAGGGCTTCGTCCCTAATTTTTTGTTGTCTGCTTCCATCAAAATATAGAAATCATGTCATCTTTGACAAATGAGAATCGACATTGATTTAGGAGAATAAATATGTTAGTGCGTTAAGATGCATGCATCTTATGAGGCTTCTCCAATTTTGGAGAAATTGCCACTGGCAATAGAATCCATAGCATGTTATGGTAAGTACAATTTACTTGAGCTTCCCCTTAACTTTAACTATAACTCACATTTCTTTTATTGAATATTTTATGTATGTACTGTACAAAAACAAACATGAAAATCAAGTTATAGAATAGCAAAAGTCCTTTGAATGGTCAACAGACATATTTTAGAGATCATAGCCTTTTATAGCCATTCATAGCCATTTACCTTCAACTTAAACAAACTCTTTTGAGTATGCTTTTGCATTAATTCTATAGATTAATTATAAAAGGTTAAACCTCATTTTATAGTTTTTATTTTCATTTTGTACCAGCGTATAGTTTTTGGGCTTTATACAAATCTACAAGTTTGTAAGGTTTAAGCTTTAGTTGACCTATTAAAACAAGTATTGGTACTGGTACAGAAGTTTTCGACAATGTCTATGATGGAATAGATTAAAATCATCTGTTTGAGATTGTTACCTAGTTTATGTCCATGTACACATGTAAATATAGTAAACATTTACTCTCTTTCAGAGGATATTTTACTGGTTGGAACTAAACAAGGTCATTTATTACAATACAAAGTGAAGAGAATCAAGACGTCAGGTACACTATACTAGAATAACTCTATCATTATAAGGAATCTGAAATCATATTTGCCCTGTGGTTTCTGATCTAGCAGTTTCAAGATAATACTGATAATCTTATACCGTTTTAGAACTGTATACGAAATAAAAGGTCATGTACCTTGATCTCAAAGTAATATAACTTAAAGTGTATGATAATAACATTCTGTGACGTCATTGGCCACAGACGCTTTACTGGCTGCACGGGTATATATTGTGTAATGCTTACGCTAGGGTTGAAAGGATTAAAATCTTATAACTTGTATTGCTGGCATGATAGATAAATTAATACATCACGCATGATACTACATGCCACAATATGATATGCATATCATGTTTTTACTGATACAGTTTTGAGACTGTTAGCTCCTTTATGATATTTATTTTTAGGAGATTCAAAGTTTGAAGTTAATCTTGAGAGATCGAATAAAGCTTTTGCTAAAAAACCAATAACACAAGTAAGTGTAACCAGAGCTTAATATCTTGATCAAGTTACCTTCATTGCATTTAACCTATTTAGAGAAAGAGAAAATTCTTTTTTTGTTTCTTACTCTATAAAAAATGGAGAATGTATTCTGTATTCTTTCCTTTTGTAGAATATGACAATGAATAATGAATAATTTTGTATGATTTTAGTTAGAGGCTGTACCAGAACTATTTATTTTGATTAGTTTATCAGGTAAAAATTTATTATTTCGTCTTTTTAAAACATTGTCAAATCATTTCCGTGTGAGTGATCAAATTGAATTGTGTAAATTATTTGTGAGATGAGTCAAAATTTTGAATAACGATCTGTTATTGAATTTTTTAACTCTAAATGCCAATTCAAATTCTGGGACCCACAGTAATGGTTACTATAACAGGTGGTGTTATAGAGGTAGGACAAGATCAATATTTCTTGAGCATCACATATGCCTTTATGAGAATGCATTTGTCAACTATTTTCTGAGCAAACCAAAGTGTTTTTTGAATTTGTTTACATTTACATGGCAAGATAATTTGAATATCAGCCTCAAAAAAGGATTGTTAGAATGTCTATGCATGGAAAAAAAATATGATTTTTTGTATGTTGACATTGAAAAGAAACACATCATTCCTTGAAATTTCATCCGAAAAATTCCCAAATTTTGGATGAAAATTGTCTTCTGTAAAAACAAATTTGTTAGACTTTATGTGTGCTCATAATGATATTTTTATCAATGCAAAGACATTTTAAGACTATCAGTACTCTTTTGAGACTGCCATTCCAATTCTCTTAAAGATAAATGAAAAATTTTTTCTTTGCCCAGGCAAAAGTTAAAGTTACTTTGATTAAAATTTTGATACATTTATAAGCTTATAATCTGCTTTATGATTTATTGCTGTTTTTTTTTTTGATAGATAATGTAATATGTGTCCATGATTTAACCACATTTGGTCTTGTAACCACAGTTAATAAAACAAAAGGTGCAACTTTGTTTACAGTTGACCTAAGCGTAAGTAGCTCCAATTTGAAAATAGAATTACACTTACTTGTATTTGGAGCAAGAAAATATTACACAATGACAGGTTAAGAGTTAAATTTTATATGACACTAAATTGTGTGCTATAATTGCAAACAAATATATTTACACCAGAGTATTAATTTGTCAGTTTATTTTCATTTTTGCACTCCTTGTGTATTTAACTAGCCCGTAGGTTAAGTAATTGAGTAAAATACTATCAAAATGTTGAAAAGTAAGCCTTGTAGCCATTATGATTTTAACTTAAATTGTGGATTTTGAAGTCTGTCATTCTTACTAATATTTTGATAAATATTTCAGACACCCACCAATTTAGACGGAAAAGTTCAACCTAATTTGAGAATATGTGTAACTTCCAAACAAAGAAGAGCTCAGGTATGAAAGATGTTATGTTTTTGTCTTACTGATGATAGGATATCATTTGTTGATTAAGAGTAGGTTGTGAGTGATCATACTGGATCAACTCCTAAAAATACAGACTATCCTGAAAAATTTCATTGCCTTAAGTAGAATTTAAACTTCTATAAATTTTACTGACAACTGAAAACCGATAATGGCATTGAATTAGAAATTTTCTTATTTTGAGAGAAATGAAAACTGACATTCAAACACCACTCAGCAATAAATGTATAAATGAATGTCTTGTAAGGTATTAAAAAAAATATTTCATAGTGTACATTTTATTTCAGTTCTTCTTTTGGAAGAATCGAGAATTTCATGATTTGTTGGTAGGTATGATTTTGTATACAAATTGGTTTTATCTTTTAAGTCTTATTTTATTTTATCTATAGAATTATCAGTAATAATTCTCTTTATATTATACATTCTACTAATAAACATACACATTAATGTTTTCAGGTACAGGGACATAAATCGGTACAGTTATATTCATAACAATATGTATTATTTCAGTTTTGAATGCATTTTTGATTTAGTTACCATTCCCGAATATGATTTGAATATTTTAGACTTAGATCCTGTTAAGACGTATGAGTAAAATTTCAAAAACTTGAAATTCCATGCCATGAATCCTTAAATATGAAACAAAGTGATTCTAGTGAATTGCTCAAAGTTGATGGTGCTTAAACTTAGCCATAATATAACACCATTTGGCAATTATTTCAGCTTTCAGTAACTTTCAGTAACTATCAGTAGGTACAAATAAAATAGGTCAGTTGTCTGAAGATTGAACAGCGTAAAACATGGTTCAGGTTCTGTTTTAAATTAACGTAAGATAGTCTCAAAAACATACTGACATTTGTAGACTAAAAAAATTTGGATGACATAGCTGTTTGATTATAGCCATTCTTTGTTCATGGCACTTTGCATGTATGCCTTTGCAGGATCTAAGTTTGATTTTTATAATTTTACCTTATGATTTGCTTGATTTTAAATTTATCAGTACTATGATATAGTGTATGTGTAGTTAATTAAAAACTTATTAGAAATATTAGTTATTGCTAACATATGTTACCATGTATAGTGTTATGTTATTATTTTTCTATCCAGTGACATTATCTTTACTTTACAGAATTGTTTATTTCACCTGTTGCATTATACTGAGTTGATTCATAATTATCTAGTAGAAAGCCATAATGTGAAATATGATTTTATTTTACATTATTTTTTGCATATTTTCTTGAAAAATTGGAATACATAACTGAAATTCTAAACAATTCATATTTAAAAGAATGATGTCAGCAAAATCATATGCTGGCAGTATAGACTGATTTCTTATCAATTAAAATATTCTCATTGTGGACCTCTTGCTCCTTGTCAGTGAGTTTGCTTTCTCTTCTCAATGCCTAATCTAATTTGAAAATTGAAATTCCAAATCATCTGACCAGATTTTATATACCAATTCTATATCAGCTACATGAAACAGACCCTTTTCCAATTAGTTAATAACCCTGTAAAACATCAAATCTTGTTATAATTTTAGAGTGAACTTGGTCTATATGATGCACCTAGAGCAATGGCTTGGTGTGAAGATTCTATATGTGTTGGATTTAAGAGAGACTATTTTCTTATCAATGTAAGTCTTATATAACAAAGGATATTTGATATTTATTGAATTTAGGTTGTATTTCACTATTGAAGTCTACTTATAATAACAAAACTTTCATAATTATCATTTTGCATGTTAGATGTTAAATATGTTGACAAAGGAATTAAAAAGCTGTCAAAATATTTACTGATACAACTTAAGATTACCCATTGCATTTTTTAGAATAAGAAACTGATCTATTTGACCCCCCTTTACTTTCACTCTTTCACTTTGGCATATCCATATCAAACTGTATATGTATAATTGGAAAATTATATCTAGCCTTGCATATGATTCTGCTACAATTCATGAAAATTGTACCTGTGGAAGTTTACACAGTGTCCACATCAAAATTCTCACATAGAGTTATTGCCATAATGATTGTTAACTATCAGCATTCATAAAAATATAATATGAAAACATGTTAATGATATGTTTTACAGGTAAAAACTGGAGATTTGAAAGAATTATTTCCATTAGGTAGTAAACAATTAGAACCTGTAGTAACTAAATTATCTGACAATAGACTAGCATTAGGTCGGGATGAGATGTCCATATTAATTAATGCCCATGGTGAACCAACACAAAAACATCCTGTCAAGTGGTCTGATATACCAGTAGCTTTACGTAGGTATTCTTTTGTACTACTAAATCATTGGTTGCCCACTGAAACGGCAATGGCAAAAGTAGTTTCCTGGTGGGAGATTCAAACACATGACACCTTCTGGCTTGCTCTCTTTGTACTCTGTACTAGATATTATTGGTTAAAGCTGAAAATGACAGTGGTAAAAGTAGTTTTCTCACCTTGTTGGAGTTTGTTCAGAATAAAAAAGTTTGGCAAGATTAATCAAATTGAATATTATTATCATTGTTAAAATTTTTTTTTTTCTACAGAGCATGATCCACCATATCTTATAGCCATTTTACCAAAATATGTTGAAATTAGAACCATTGAACCTCAGAGAATGATACAAAGTATTGATCTAAGTAAAGCAAAATTTGTTTGTCATGGAAGGTTAGTGTTTTTTACTTTAATAGATTCAGAAGAGATTTCCAAGCTTTAGCATTTGGATCAGAGACACATAGAGCATATATTTTCACTGTCTTCCTGGTAATTGAAGAAAAAGCGTTACCAGAGAATAATGTCATTTAAGCAAAAAAATGTTTAGTTAAGCACGAGTAGTGTACAGAAAGAAATTAGCTGTGCTTATCCTCGCTAAATTCAATATCCAATTTATCAATATTATTCATCCTTAAAAATGATTTGCCAGCTTTATGAGTTGCTGTTAGCAGCTACAGGTCATTTATATTTATAGTTCCATAATGAATGAATTCATTGGTACAAAAAATTGACATCTTTGTCCTATGTCAGTTTGAAAATAAATGTTAAAAATAGATATATTTTTTTACAGTGGCTGTGTTTATGTTGCTTCATCTAACTTTGTGTGGAGATTAGCGTCTGTTTCTATACCTCAACAAATACGGGATCTCTTACAAGCTAAAGAATTTGAATTGGCATTACGTTTAGCTGTAAGTGTTTCTTACTTTAAAAATTCATGATTCTCTTTACTTCATAGGAGTTTATTGAATAATTTTTGTGCACAAAATTCTGAGAAATATCAAAATATTGCATAATATGTCTGTTAATATGTGCTTCAGTTTGAAAACCTTGTTATCATTCAATTCACATATGATTTTATAAGTCTTCAGTCAAACAGAAATGTCAAATTGAATTCAAATTGCATAGGAAAGTATGGATGTTATACCAATTATCAGATATGATTAGAAATAATGTTTTAATATTTCGACCTTCAGGAGATGACAGAAGAACCAGAATTAGAAAAACAAAAGAGGATAAGAAATATTCAAAATTTATATGCATTTGATTTATTTTGTCAACATAGATTTGAAGAATCCATGAAACTTTTTGCCAAATTAGGAACAGGTAAGTAAAGAAATTTTTATTGATATAAAAGCTTTTGATACATGTATTTAGTTTTACTGCAATTGCAAGAACTACATTGCATCTAACAGGAAATTGGAATGGTGCAAATTGATGCTATCAGTGACCCTGATACACATAAAAAGTTTCTTTGAAAATCCTTTTACAAATGACTGTAAATGCTGCAGAGAGTTTTGTTTGGATTTGCCTATCATGGGCGTAACTAAAATTGTTTTCTTTTTAGATCCATCTAATGTGATAGGTCTATATCCTAATTTATTACCACAAGAATATAGAAATCAGTTAGAATATCCTGCTAAATTACCTGATTTAGAAGGTAGTGATTTAGAAAAAGGTTTATTGGCATTAATAGACTTTCTTATGGAGGTAAATCTATTGTCTTGTATCAATCTCTGACTAAATCCAGAACTGTGAATTATAAGAGATTATGTCGAACTAACGAGAAGATTGTAACATAAAAGCAGTGAGCAGTCATTGATCTGAACTGTAATTAATTGCCATTTATTGGTTTTTGTGCCAAAGAGCTCCTAATCCTTAAAGTGTTTGTCCATTGTATATTAGTTTGTAAACATAGTTTCCCATTCAGTTCCTGGAAAAACTGTTGGTAGCATAGTAGAATTACCAGTTGTGATTTATGGTGTCAAGTTTATGATATTTTTTGTACCTATTATAGAAAAGAAATGAAATGGTAGTAGATTTAACTAAAGAAATATCAACTACAGCTATAGTGGAAGGAAATTCTGTTATTAAAACTAAAAAACAACTTAGTCAAATTATAGATACAACTTTATTAAAGTGTTATTTACAGGTTGGTACATTTAGTCATAGTGTACTATAGTGACACATAAATTACATTTGTAAATTTTATTTACACAGCATAATTTAATGTGATAAATGCATTAAGATTTATCCTGTCATTAAGGCGAAAGATTTTTAGCAAAAAAAACATCTGGCCCTCGTTAGTAGCTGTATATATTTGGAGTACACCATTGATTTCATTTGTAAGAGATCGCAAAAAGATCAACTATGTTCACCTGTGAAGCTTATGGTTTCTTAAAAATATCATCTCCACTGTCTTGTAGCGTGTCTAAAATTCCATTTAATCCTATTAAAATCACAACCTCAAGTGATGTATGAATGGAATGAAGGCTAGTTAATTTCCATAAACATTGTCCCTATGTCTGGTTTTTTGCATCTGCAATCAGACATAACTGGTGTATATAACCAAATATAGTGAAAATCTGTCAATGAAAATAAAAAACTAAGCCTGTTTATTTCAGACTAATGATGCTTTAGTAGCACCATTACTAAGATTACCAGATAATAACTGTCATATAGAAGAAAGTGAACGAATTTTAAAAAGAAAAGAAAAATTCAGTGAATTAATAATTTTATATCAGAAAAAGGGTTTACATCAGAAAGGTAAATTATATACAAATACTGGTTTCCCTCCATTATCACTATTCATCTGCAACTATATTTTGAATAATCTCATGCTAGTATATAATGGATCAGATCTGTTTAAGAGATATAGTACTTGTGGCACATTTCAGTTTGAAATCCTGATTTGAGTTCTTCTGCAATGAAATGAAAACCTATTACTCTAACATTGGCAAGAAGAGTCTGCTTAATTTTGGTAGTTTTATTTGGAAGAATAATGTTTATTTGACTGTTGATAAGCTTGAATTCCAATTGTGAAAAGTGACACCAATACCTGTCTATTTTAGCTCTAAGTTTGTTAATGAAACAAGCTGCTAGACCTGATTCCACCTTGAAAGGACATGACAGAACAGTCACATATCTTCAACATTTAGGTAAGTAATTTACCAATTTTGCTGATATGAAATAGATGTCCAGAACCTTTGTATAGCTGTAATATTTTCTGAGTTATGGTTATGAAACAATAATGGCCATCTTAACATGTAATTTGAAAAATTAATAAGATATTTCCACCAATTTTCATTGTTGACTTCTAGCTTCTGTTAGTTCACTTTTTTTACTTCAAGATCTCATGATGAGCGTTTCTATTCAAATCATGTGCCGTCAACTTAAAATAAGTTGTGTCAAATATACACACATATAACGAAAAAAATATTGTGTTTATATTTCAGGTGCTGACCATTGGGATTTAATCAAAGAATATTCTGAATGGGTTTTAAAGAAACATCCTGAAGATGGTCTTAAGGTAGGCAGCCAAATATTTCTTAACAATCATAATTCAAGACAATCATATATCATTTAGTACTGTCAAATTTAGTTATATAAAATTTAATTTTGGGCATTAAAATTTTACAGATATTTACTGAAGATTTACCAGAAGTAGAAAGTTTACCTTGTGATAAAGTTCTAGATTATCTTGAGAGTACCAGTGAAAAATTAGCCATTCCATATTTGGTAAGTTTTTAGTTGTTGAGTTATCTTGATTCTGTTGTTATTGAATTTTATTTTACATTTAAAATCAGTATTAGGTCCTGTCACATGCAATTATCTTTTCTACTTGAAGAAGGAGAACTCTTTGAAGAACAATACAATGGACAATATTTGCCAATATTTCAGCGATTTCTAAATTATACGTTTATTACAGGAACATGTGATATTACATTTAGGTAATGAAAAATCTGATTTTCATAATCGATTGATATTGATGTATAAAAGTCATGTGACAGAATTAATGAAAGATTATCTACATTCCCTTCCAGAAGGTATGATTATATATCTTATAATTTATTCCATTTTATTCCATATTAAGATAAAAATATAGGTTGCTTCAGTCAGTTAAATGATTTATTTAGCTCAGGGTTTGATCACAGGCAAGTTCCAGATTCTAGCTTTTGAAATTAGGTTTGTACCTGTCAATATTACTGATCAGAGACACGGAGGAAATATATAGTTATTCAGATGTGACACTAAACCAAGGTCCTTTGTTAATAATTATACATTGTACACGGCTTGGTGTTGCCAATCCCCATTAACCCAATCATAGCGGCAAAGTAAAAACATTTCATTATATTCATTTGTGAATATTGATATGATTTTTGTTTATTGAATATTGATTTGAGATAAATGAAGACTTTACTTTTATGATACCTTTGTCGATTTTCAAAATGAAAATGAATTTATTTACAATAAAATGAAAATTATCTGCTATATCTGACTGAAATGATGACAAATCAGAAGAGACTCATTCTTTTAGAAAACCCCGACCTGTTGATTTTTGTTACAATGTATATATATTAAAGTATTTGTTTTTATAAGCAGGTCATCCACCTAGTATTCCTGGTAAAGAACCAGGTGAATTAGGACAATATAGAAACAAGTTATTACAGTTTTTATATACATCACAACATTATATACCAGAAAGATTATTAACTAGATTCCCTCTTGATGGTGAGTACTATACATCAACAGTAACTTAGTGAAACTGATATATACCTGTTAAACTGACAGAATCTAAGCCGAAAAAAGATCAGACTGTGTTCACTTTATCTAAATAGCTACATATGAGCATTTGAATTGGAAATAACCAAGATAACTGTTTTTTATAATAGAGGGGTTTTCTCATATTATTCATGATCATGTGACATGAAGATTTATTGCCTAATGTAAGGTTAACATGCTAAATTGAAACATAGTAGAAATAAGTCACAGTAATATAAATTACACCTTGGTATTTTTTCTTCAGTAATGCATGTGAGAGGAATTTAATAAAGAGTTGGCAAATATACCACTGTTTTGGATTAATGTCTAAAATTAATTGTTGTATTTACTATAGGTTTCTATGAAGAGAGAGCTATATTATTAGGTAGATTGGGTAGACACGAACAAGCTTTAGGAATCTATATCCATGTTTTACATGATCCTGTCAAAGCAGAAGCGTAAGTAATCTAATAATATTTGAAATTTTCATGGGTTTGATCATTTTCACATAAATGAAGATAAGTTGTCTGGAATATGTTGACCTAAAGATTTTGTTCAATCTGGTGTCATTTCTGTAGATTTATCTGCACAGTACCTTGACTTAACAAAGACTTTATTATATTTACAGATATTGTACTTCACATTTTGATAGAAATAGTGAAAGTAATAAAGATGTAAGTGTGAATAATGTTTTAATTTACATTTACTGGTACTTTAAACTGATACTGAACCAAAATGTGAAGACATGGTTCACCATTTTCGTGGTTCAATCATGCCTTGGTCTCAGAACTTGGAATTGCTCAACTAAGCTAATCAGTAATTGTGTTCAAAACTTACTGTCAAAACGTTAGCCTTCTTAGCAAAGTGTATCCATAATTATTTATTTGGAAAATGACATTGTTGACTCACCTTTTTCAAGATGGTTTTTAGACGTCTTAACATGTATTTGTATCATTGATTGTAGGTTTTTGTTCAGTTATTAAAAACATTGTTACAACCACCTGACCCTACAACATTAGGTATGGCTGCTGGTCAATGTAGTCCTGCTAAACCAGATATGTCTGCTGCTTTACGTATCTTGGAAAAACATGCCTGGAAAATTGATACAACTAAAGTAAGTCATAGGACCTATTCTTTCTCTTGTTGCGCTTAAGCCCCAAGCTAACCCTGATTTCCAAAAATATTTGACTTGATGAGGATTTGTTTCCAAAACATGTGATGATGGCATGAGAAGAGTTCTAGACAACTAGAGTCTGAAATAAAGGGAAAAATATTTTGACATGAGTCTTTACTACATGTTTTACTGTCAATACTGTCAACATAGCTGATATGAAGTGTAAAGATTACTCTTGCTAATCTAAAAGTCTAAGACTCATTTGATCAACTTCTGAAATTCGGATAATGTCAACTTTTTTCAATACATTTTTAAATGTTCGCAAACAAATATGTATTAGGAAAGCACATGGTCTCATAAATGAGCTATAGAAATGATAAATTTACTGAATTTTTTTCATTAAGGCATTAGAGTTGTTGCCTGCTACCACCAGAATTCGTGATATTGTAACCTATCTAGAAAATGTAATGGAGCACCAAGCATCTCGTAGACGCCAAAATCAAGTATTAAAAAGTATGCTGTTTGCTGAAAACTTACAGGTAAGCATCAGTCTTTTTATTTTTAGATCAATCATGCAACATGTTAAGGATAGAAAACAGGGTGTTTTTTTTTTATTGGAACTCTTAATTCTTAATAAGTAAAGATTCAATGTTATTATGTAAAAAAATAGTTTCGTTTCGATGATATCACTGGCCTAAGTCATACACACTCCTTGTGTGAAGATAAAATATAGTGGTACCAACCCTGTTGTGATACATTGAAAAAAAATTAGTCCTTTTTCAATCATGCATACTGTAAATCCTTATAAAATTACAATTTTCAAATTATGTATTAATGTCAAGATATTTTAACTGTAAAATCCAACTATTTTGTATATTGTTTTGTAGATACAAGAACAAAGAATATATCATCAAGGTATAAAAGTTAATATTACAGATGAAAAAATGTGTCGTGTTTGTAAGAAAAGAATAGGTGATAGGTAAGTTTTTATTTCCTCTTTGAACACTAGAAAAAAAGGACTCATTCATAACCTTGTGCTACTGTAAAGTAAATCTTGAGACCACAATTTGATAGGTATGGAAAAATATCTATAGTATAATAAGTAAAATTATTAGAGCACAAAACAAACCAGTGTCAAAGAGTGGGACTTTGCAAATGTAGCAAAATGCAAAAGACCCTGAAAAAATCAACCTTCCACGATAATTAGATCAAGCGCAAGAACAGTCTAAAGTTGAGAAATTTTCATTTTTTAATACCGGAAGGGGACGTCAGACCTCACAAATGAAAGTATCAGCAGATAGCCAAGGTCAATGACCTTT